GTTCTCACGAGGGAGGTGGCACTCGGGTAGAGCAAACATTCCAACGCCAATTGCTCCAGTTCTGGGCCCAGAGCTTCCTCCTCGGCGTGCCCCAGATTGTTGTTGGCTTCCGGAGTAAAGGCGGGGTGTTGAGGAATCTGCAAACGTTTGAGACGCAGGAGTTGCCTGGGATGGTGCGCAGGGGGACGGCTTGTTGGGACGGCAATGTTTGCATTAATTTCGCGACGGAGATGCTGGGATGGTTGAAGGGCGTTGTTAAGGGGGAGGGGGTGTATAGTATTGTTTTGAGGAAGAAGAGTGGGGTTGTGGAGGTGAGGAGGGTGAAGGATGGGACGGGTGGGATTGTGAGTGACGAGTTCTTGGCCTGGAGAGGGAGCGAGGGGGGATGAGGGGGGGAGGCAAGCAGTCTCGGGGAGGGAGGTTGGAGATGGAGTCGAGGGCAGCGAGAGGCAGAGTGTGCACCTCGAGATGGAGACGGAGACGAAGGTAGAAGCAAAGAAGACAAACAATGGAAACAAAGAGTCTTGAACTCCTCTCATTACACACTCTTAAAACCCTACCAAAAGCTCAAAGCCCAATCCTTCACTTGAAAGTCCCTTCCAACTCCTGAGCTGTTGTTGTATGGTGTCGTAACATACCTACACAGTCTCAATTTTGTTTATCCTATAATCTCTGTCTTTTCTGTTTGTTTCATTGACACAGTCCCTATAGCTCATTCTCCAGTTCAAAACACCCCGCCAACTTGATTTGAACTCTGAAATCTGCAATTTGAAATATAGAAACCAACATCCTTGATTCACAAAATCTGAGGAGATGTATGACTCCGTGGGAGAATGGCCTTGGTCTTGGGGATTATGAGCAAGTGATTTGAAGCCATCCCGTGGCATTGAGGAAGGGGTGAAAGGGGCGCTGGGGATTTTTTTCATGCGGGATAGGTTTGTAATGGTGAGGGTGGTGGTGGTGTATTTGATTTATGTGTGGTGATGATATTGTACCTCCTAATCATACAAAAAGCGACAAACAACAACACAAAAAAAAACAGAAAAACATATCCAACATTGCTAATACTCATATATCACCCTCCTCCTGCAACTACCCCTCCTCCCGTCACTTTTACCGAGCGTACCTAAGCTACACGAAGTCTTCTATACACTCTGTCAATCTACCAGTGTGATACTTAGTGGATGTACTTGGTCAGTATCTTAGCAGGGATCTACCGGCACCACAGTCTATTGGGATGTAGGAGGACGCTGTCCTGCTATATATTGTCCTGCTGTGTGAAGATATGCTTGAGATATTTGTCTATCAGCTATTTATGCTATTGTGGTGAAGTGGACCTCGTTTTGTACAGTATAGGTGGATAGAGGGGCAGGGGTTACGGCTGATGCCAGTGCTGGTGTTGGTGCTGATGCGAGAGTGTTTTATATAAGAGGTCTTGTGTTGATAACATTTCTAGGACCATGGGCCTGTTTATTCTCTACTTTAATTTATTCAAAAAAAATTGGTTTCCTGAGGTCTGCGTGGCAAGGGAGGAGTGTATGCTTTGGATTTTTGGAGTTTGTAAGTTGGCGAGTAGTAGTTTTTCTACATGATTTATTTTTACGTTGACCTGACTAAGAGTACTATAGCATGCCATACTATGGCGATGTGTGTGTTTGGGAAATGAAACTCCGTAGTCTGTGTGATTCAGCTTGCGGGTTTTTTTTTAATGTTAGGACACGGTGTCTATTCCCACTGCGCCAAACAACCTCAAAAAGGTGCGTATAATCCATGAATGGATTATTCACGAATAGAATAGTATATATGGGCGCAGGGCACGCCATACCCCATAGTCCTACCACGCGTGCACGACGCTATGGCCTGACATTTAAATCAAAATAGATAATAATTCATGGTGTGTGTGTGCGAAGTGCTAGCTTAAGTCAGGCAAGGGATGAGTTGATTCGTTTGTTCTTGTATGTATTAAAGGAGGAGGGTTGTAAAGTAAGGGTATATTCAATCCTGAATAACTTTTTCTGGTTCTTCTTTTGTTTTATATAGGAGAGGGTCAATTGTGTGTTCTATAGACTTTCGTGTGCTGCTAAGTTTTCTTCTTTGTGTTATACCAGGATATTGTTTTTCAAATTACATACGTTGTATCTTATGCCTTCTCCTCTCTTCCCCTGCTAATTTCTGCTGATTTACTCCTAGTTCATTTCTTCCAAACCCCAGAGTAGAGTGTATTATAATTGATTCAACGTATTGTACCTAACACGATTCGCGAAGCTGAATTTACTATGTAACCTTTTTGAGTTACTGCATGACTCACGCAAGAGACCACTAAGAGTCGACATATAATATACCCTAATACATTGTATTTGCAATAAAATTTACATTTCACGCAACGTAATCACAACAGTACACTATTGTACTATACATCTACAGGTATTCGCGCTCGTTTCAACACGTAAGCTCACACCTCTCCCCCAATAGGTGGAGAGTAGATAATTTTTGGCAGACTACTTTTCTGTTTTGTGCAAGCTTACGATGTAACGTTATGGCAGATGAATACTTTGAGGATGCGTTTCTACGGTGCAAGTTCGCACTGGAGTGTGCAGTTAAACGCGCTGTTTGTGTTGGCAGGGAGAAGGGTTTATTGACGAGTTTGCTATCTGCATATTTAGTTATTTCAATTTTTTTGTTTTGCAATTGTGCTTGTGTATGGTGTGATTCCCATTCCACGTGCATGTATTTGAAGAAGCTAGATGAATATATATATAATTATTGAGTAGGCTGTCAAAGACAAGTCCATAGGTGGTTAGAATGCGTGTTGCATGATCATGTTGAAGACCACATCTTTAATTGCAGAATGCACCTCATAGCATTGGGTATCTACAATCAGTGTCTGGTACCCTTCCAGAACGGCTTTGTCATACGATATTGTCGCATGATTAGCAATCATCGAGAGTTGCGCACCAGAAGTGTACCCACACTATCGAATGCAAATTCCAGCACGAGTAAGAGCTCTGTAGAACTGTGTGCAGAAGACAGCATGAGTGAGAGCTTTGTGGGACTGTACTTACACAAACAGCGAAGTCCACTTGTTCCCACATCCAGGACACAGGACAAGCACAGTCACTGACATCCTCTCGCCCTATATAAATGACCATTGT